CCATTTAAAACTTCCATTTAATATTAAAAAAAAAATACTTTAAGAATATCTTGTTACTCATTCCAATTACACATGAAGAACCAGAGGCACTTATCAAGGGTCAGTTTCCTTATCAAATATCGGTGGTGAAGCTAGGATAAGCTTAGGTTTCTCTGATTCCACAACCTTCTTCAATCTAAACAAGTAATCTAAAATGCACCCTGTCTCTGGAAGAATTAGGCCATTTACATTAGATATTTGATAAAAACCAAACCAAAAAAAGGTTGGGCAATCCTACTTCCGTAATGATACTGCCTCGGAAACCCAAGGAGGGGTCGCTATGAGTCGGGGCCGACTCGACGGCACACAACAACAACAACAACAACAACAAACTTACTGCCATCAATTCAACTCATAGCAACCCCTCCTCGGGTTTCTGAGGTGGTATCTCTACAGAAGTAGATTGCCCAATCTTCCTTCCAAGGAGTGGCTGGTGGGTTTGAACTGCCAGCCTTCCGGTTAGCAGTCAAATGCCCGAGGCACTATGCCACCGTAGCTCCTAGATACTTGATCCACTTAAATTTTCTTTCAAATATGCTAGTGTTTTCTATAATAACCATAGAACAAGAAGATATACTTCTTTGATAAAATGTTTTATCTTATGGACAGACTATATTAAGTACATATGGCAAAATCAGAGATTTTGTAGAAATTTTGTAGAAATTGGAAAACCTGAGTCATGGACTGAAAAAAAGACATTGTTATTCAGTATCATTTTCCAAAACATATGACTCATTTTGAAAATAGAGAAATTCTCAGAAGAGACAATAAGACTTACAGGTGACCACTGAGGTATTTTTGAACATGTAATCTCTATGTAATAATTTAATTAACTTTTATATTTCAGGGAGAAAAATTATATACTTGTTGTCTGGGAACATTTTCAGTCATGTTCAACCCTTAGGTGATAATTTCGTTTTAGTACACTCAATTCCCAGTTTCAAGGAAGGTGATTGGACTCTTCTATTACTGTTTTATATGATGAAAATCTCTGTGCTTTTAGCAACTTTGTTATCTAAATATGATTAAGAACATATTGATGATGCCATACAGTTTGCTATTGTTTACACAGAATGTTGTTGTTGCTATAAGGCACTATGGAGTTTGTTCTGACTCATAGCCACCCTACATACAACAGAACCAAACACTGCCTGGTGCTGTGCCATGCTCATGATCATTGCCATGCTTGAACCCATCGTCATAGCCACTGTGTCAATCAATCCATCTCATTAAGGGTCTTCCCCTTTTTTTACTGACCCTCCACCAAGCATGATGTCCTTCTCCAGGGACTGGAGAATATTCCATAGAACTATAGTGGAGAATTGAATTATTTTTCCAGTAATCATGATGGCTTTATATTTGTCACTGTGGAGAATACAGGTAGAATGTAATGGACATAGAGGAAAATAGGGGGAAAGTAACTTCCTCTTGAAGACAATATACATATGTGATAACGGATAAAGTCAAGCATGTTCTTTGGAGACAGAATTGTTTAATGTTCTAGAATACCTGTATAACTGCTTCAGTCTTTGCAACACTGAGAACTTATCTCCTTTAAGACCAGTGATCTTGAGCCAGATTTTCTTGCTTATAGTAGAAACACTGTATCATTCTTTAAAATAATTTTATGAAACTGAGTATTCCAGAACAATTAGCTAACAGCAGGGTCTTGCTAAATTAGTGAAAACAAGATGGAAAATCCTTTAGAAGTCAATACCTTAAGGGAGCTTCCTAAAGTGTCTGTATATGTTGTTGTTAATTAAAAATAGTAAAATGGTATCAAATATAAAGAGACTATACACAGTCATCTAGTTCTTTGTAGAATTTCACAATGAGCAAGCATTTGTTTGAATGTCCCGATCATTAGGGTTTATTATTATTATTATTAATTTTATATCCATGGCTGGAATAAACAAATAGTGTTACAAGACAAAATATTAATTTAAAACATGTATAATCTAAGGCTATCTTGAGATAATTAATGAAAAATCAACATTAAATACATCCTTGCAAGTTCTAATGTTCTTTTTTTTTTTTTTTCTCATTAGAATAACAAGAATTCACCTTGTGATAAAGTTAACAACATAAGGTAATTGTCCATTAGGAGTTACCATTGTGTGGTTTTTATTGTGACTAGTGTACATTCCTAGGAGCTCAGAGGTTTTAGTTCAAAGAAAAATTCTGTGCTGTTAGAAGCACAAACTTGTTCTGTGTCAGTTTTCTCTAGGTGCCAGAGGCACCCTATGTGTGAGAGAAAAAAACAAGAGAGGAAAGAATAAGAAGAAACGTCAGCAGCAAGGAGAAGTGGAGATAGGCAAAAAACGACACTGCGGAGAGTAACTGAGTTATCTGGGGAAAAAAAAGAAAAGAAAGAACAGAAGACTGGAAAAGGCAAAATGAAAAAAACAGAAAATATGTCTAAAGGAGAAAAATGGTATCAAGATAAGACAAAAAAATTTTTTTGGAATTGAGTTATTTTTTTAGAGGAAACTTTGCTCATAGTATAGAAAATTTCAAGTTTTAAGAAAAAAATAAAATTCAAATTTAAACTATGAAATATTTATGAAAACAGTAAACACTGTTGTCAAATAACACTAGTTAGGTACCTTTACAAACTCAATTTCGAAAGCCCTTTGTATATTGGAATAATTTAAATTAATCACATAATCCCTCATCACAAAGTTGATAGGATGTGTATTTATCAATTTCAACAGCTGATTTCTGAAGGAACAAAAGTGTTACAAGAAATCTATCTCTTATAATTCTCAATATACTATTTGGAAGCATTGATCGATTGTAACTAATAAGCAAACAGCATCACAGAGAACTTTCTGTTTTGCAACGTTTGATTACCCAGTTTGATTAGATGATAGTGATTTCCCAATTAAAAAGGAAAAAATATGGAAGAAATCTTTAATCTAGCCATATTAAAAATTCATGTTAAATATAATTAAAGTTTAAAAATGAGGTAGACTATGAGTTGCGGCCGACTCGACAGCACATAACAACAAAAAACAACAACATGACTAATGTATCTATCAATTTTATTACTCATTCCTTGAAACTTTGGTCCCCCCTAAAAAAAATTTGTTTATTTTTATAA